GAAAAGAAAAGAAAAGAAAAGAAAAGAAAAGAAAAGAAAAGAAAAGAAAAGAAAAGAAAAGAAAAGAAAAGAAAAGAAAAGAAAAGAAAAGAAAAGAAAAGAAAAGAAAAGAAAAGAAAAGAAAAGAAAAGAAAAGAAAAGAAAAGAAAAGAAAAGAAAAGAAAAGAAAAGAAAAGAAAAGAAAGAAAGAAAGAAAAAAGGGAGGGAGGGAGGGAGGGAGGGAGGGAGGGAGGGAGGGAAGGAAGGAAGGAAGGAAGGAAGGAAGGAAGGAAGGAAGGAAGGAAGGAAGAGAAAGGCAGAGTAATAGAGAGAGAGATATATATATCTTTCATCCACTGGCTCCCTCCCCAAATGGCCTCAACAGCAGGGGCTGGGCCAGGCCAAAGCCAGGGTCCTGGAGCTCCATCCTGGTCTCCCATGTGGGTGCAGGAGTCCAAGGACTTGGGCCATCTTCTGCTGCTTCCCCAGGTGCATTAGCAGGGCACTTGATTGGAAGCAGTGCAGCCAGGTCTAAAACTGTTGCTTCAATATGGGATGCTGGTGTTGCAAGCAACTTAACCCACTGTACCACAAGGTCAGCCTTGGAAGTGAGGAATTTTTGTAGCAGGATTTTTGTTTTGTTTTGTTTTAGTTTTTATTTTTATTTACTTGAAAGGCAGAGTGAGAACAAGAGCAAGAATGAGAGTGACAGCAAGAGAGAAAGACCTTTCATTCATTGGTTCACTTCCCAAATGCCCACAATAGCTGGGGCTGGGCCAGGCTGAAGCCAGGAGCCAAGAGCTCCATCTAAGTCTCCCACATGCTTGTCAGGGCCCCAAACACTTGAGCCATCATCCACTGCCTCCTAGGATGCCTTAGCAGGAACCTGGACTGGAAGTGGAAGAACTGAGACTCAAACCTGCACTCTGATGTGGGATGTTAGATGTCCCATGCAGTGGCTTAACCCACTGCACAGCAATGCCCACCCTTATTGTAGGTTTGGAGCAAAGGAGCAACCAATAAATATTCTATCTCCATTCTCTCCCTTTATTTTTAATATTTTAATTTTTAAAAAGATTTTATTTAATTGAAAGGCAGAGTGAGAGAGTGCTAGAATGAGAGCAAGAGAAAGAAAGAGAGATTGTCCATTTGCTGGTTCTCTCCCCAAGATGTGCACAACAAACAGGACTGGGCCAGGCAGAAGCCAGGAGCCAAGAACTCTAACTGGGTCTCCCAGGATGCATACTAGCAGGAATCTGGATAGGAAGCAGTAGAGCCAGGACTCAAATCCAGGCACTCACATATGGGATGCGAGTATGCCAAATGGTGTCCTAACGGCTGTACCAACATGTCTTAGAAGGCAGAAAATATCTGGTGTTCTTTTTTTTATATATGAGACTGATTCATGAGTGTTTTTAATTTCTATTTAACAACTTCCTTATTAATAAGCTTAGATACTTAATGTTTTTGTTTGTTGCTAATTAATCCTACAACAACCATCCTTAGACATCTGTCATTGTGTGCTTGCCTAGAATCTTTTCTTAAATTCCTAGAATTGAAAATGTTGGGCCAATGGATATAACCAATATTTTTTTCTTTTTTTTTTTTTTTAGATTTATTTACTTATTTAAAAGGCAGAGTTACAGAGAGAAAGAGAGAGAGAGAGAGAGAGAGAGACACAGCAAGAGAGATCTTCCATCCATTGGTTCACTCCCCAAATGGCTGCAACAGCTGGAGCTGGGCCTATCTGAAGCCAGGAGCTTCTTCTGGCCTCCTATGTGGGTGCAGGGGCCCAGGAACTTGGGCCATTTTCTGATGGCTTCCCAGACACATCAGCAGGGAGCTAGATGAAAGTGGAGCAGCTGGGACTCAAACTAGCGCCCATATGGGATGCCCGCATCACAGGCAGTGGTTTACCCACTATGCCACACTGCCAGCCCAAATCAATACATTTTCAAAACAATAAATATTATTTTGGAGGACCAGCATTTATGATGTAGCAGGTAAAGCCACAGCCTGTGGCACAGGTATCCTATATGGGTGCTGGTTTGAGTCCTGGCTGCTCCACTTAGACCCAACTCCCTGCTAATGTGTCTTGGTAGGTCAGCAGAGAGAATGGCCCAAGTGTTTGGGCCTCTGCACTCATGTGGGAGACCTGGAAGAAGCTCCTGGCTCCTGGCCTTGCCTTTGTCCATCATTGGCTGTTGTAGCCATTTGGGAATGAACCAGCAGATGGAAGATCTCTCTTTGTAACTCTGACTTTCAAATAAATAAAATATCATAGGGGCTGGTGCTGTGGTATAGTGGGTTAAGCCCCGGCCTGCAGTGCCAGCATCCCATACGAGCACTGATTCAAGTCCTGGCTACTCCACTTCTGATCCAGCTCCCTGCTAATGCACCTGGGAAAGCAGAGGAAGATGGCCCCAGTCCTTGGGCCCCTGCACCCACACAGGAGACCTGGAAGAAGCTTCTGGCTCCTGGCTTCGGAGCAGCTTAGCTCCTGTAGTTGTGGGCCATTTAGGGGGTGAACACTTGGATGGAACATCTCTCTGTAACTCTTTCAAATAAATACAATTTTTAAAAAATATCATTTTGATGGGTGAAGAGTCCCTCATTAAGACCACAGCCACCACTGAGATCCACCAGTGGCCTAGAAACAACAGTCCACACCACTGACACCCGATGACTCATACTTCCCCTCTTCTTGACTCATCCGTCTTCCTTGGGATCTTCATTGTGCACGACTAGGAAGGCCAGGTCTGCACAGGAGGGCACAGCAGGTGCCACAGGAAAGCAAGTGGGGGTATCTCAGGTCTCCATTTCATCTCCCCCCTGCCATCATGGAAGACTCCAGGCAGCTGTGCACATCAGTGGCTAATAGGCCAAGGATAGAAGCATCCAAATACTTTGGACTGTGAGAAGATGGCTTAAAGGTAGGTAGGAGAAAGCAACCAGAGGCGAGCACCTTTGGGATTACTGCCTCAGTCTGGAGGGACATGTTTCTCCAGGCAGAACCAATTCAAGTGTGGTTCTCAGCTTTGCTTTTTGCTTTTGTAAGCCTTAGCACTGCTATGTGTCTTCTCATAAGAGAAAAACATTTTTCCTTAAATCTCAAGGATTTAAAACTGGTATCCAAAAATTCATCAGAGTACTCCTCTATTTGTTTGCCAGGGCTGCTGGAAATTTGGTGATTTTAAAGCAACAGAAGTTCATTATTACCATTTTGGAGGTTGGAGGTTTGAACTCAAGATGCCAGCAAGGGGAACTGGCGTTGTGCAACAGTAAGTTAAGCCACCATCTGCAACACTGGCATCCTACAACGAGTGCCGGTGCAAGTCCTGGCTGCTCTGCTTCCCACCCAGCTCCCTGCTAATGTGCCTGGGACAGCAGTGGAAGACAGCTCAGGTGCTTGAGTTCCTGACTCCTGGCTTCTGCCTGGCACTGCCCTAGCTGTTATGGGCATTTGGGGAGAGAACCAGAGGATGGAAGAGCTCTTGCTCATTCTCTCTCCCCCTCTCTTGTGTTGCCCTTCAAATAAAATAAATAGATAGATAATAATAACAACAACAACAATAATAGATGCCAGCAGGGCCATGCTCCTTGCCAAGGTTCTGGGCGAGACTGTCTCCGTGTTTCCTCCAGCTATGGTGGCTCCTGGCATTACTGGGCTTGCAAGCGCTGCTCTCCCATCTCTGCTCCTGTCTTCACATGGCCTTCTCTGTATCTTGTGGGTAACGTTTATAAAGACACTCTTGCTGGACTTAAGGGCCCACCCTAATCCAGTATGATCTTTTTTAAAAAAGATTTATTTATTTAAAAGTCAGAGTTACAGAGAGAGAGGGACAGACAGAGATCAATCCTCTGTCTGCTGTTTCACTACCCTAGATGGTTGCAATGGCTGGGGATGGGACAAACTGAAGCCAGGTGCCAGGAGTCATGAGCTAGGAGCTTCTTCTGGGTCTTCCACTTGGGGCAGGGGCCCAAACACTCAGGCCATCTTCCATTGCTTTACCCAGGCCATTAGCAGGGAGCTGGATTGGAAGTGGAGCAGCCAGGACATGAACTAGCACCCATATGGGATGCTGGCATCGAAGGCAGTGGCCTTACCTGCTGTACCAGTGTCAACCCCCAGTGTGATTTGATCTTCATCATTATAATTATATGTGCAAAAACCCTATTTCCAAATAAGGTCACATTCTGAAGTTCTGGCTGGATGTGAATTTTGGTAAGACACTATTCAACCCTGTAGAATTTCTAATGTTTTATTGGAAGCCATTAGGCAAATAAGACTCATGTACAAAAATTTAATAAGCCCCATTATTATTCCCTGCTGAAGACAGGAATCACTTTCTATTCTTTTTAGACTTCCCTGCAGGAGAAAAATAGTTTCTGTGAATATTAAGCATCCAGGAAACCATCTGTTTAATGTGAACTTTGCACTGTAAAAAATGAAGTAACTAAAACTCCAGAAGGGGAACAGACCTGTTTGGGGCAGGCAGGTGGTGCAGCAGGTGAAGCTGCCACTCGGGATGCCCTCACCCATCCCCAAGTGCCAGGTCAAGTACTGGGTACCTCACTTCAGATCTAGCTCCCTGCTAGTGCACCTGGGAAGCAGAGAGCAGTGGCTCCAGGACTTGGTCCCTGCCACCCACGAGGGAGACCCAGATGGAGTTCCAGGCTTCCAGTTTCAGCCTGGCCCAGCCCTGGCTGTTATGGCCATTTGGGGAGTGAACCAGCAGATGGAAGATCTTTGTCTGTCTCTCCCTCTCTCTCTGTAACTCTGCCTTTCACAAAAATAACGTTTACAAAAAAAAAAAAAAAAAAAAGAGAGAGAGAGAGAGAGAGAGAGAGAACTTGTTTGAAATCATGTGGCCATGAGCAGCAGAACTAGACTGGATCCACATCTTCCGCTTTTGGTCCATGGGTAGAACAGCTGGCACTAGAGGTGGCATGTGAGAGGTGGCATGTGTTCTGTCAGGAACCAACTTTAGCATCTTTAAACAGCCAAACAGCCCTGTCCACCATGGAACCTTAAGCATGATTGGCAGGGACAGTAATTTTGTCTTTTTAGCTTAAGGACACAGAAAGGCAGAGGGGCTGGTGTAAAGATTTGAGATGTTCCTCCTGTGACCCATTGCAGGGCCAAGGGTACCCAGCTCAGTGGGCTTCTTGGCTATTGGCACAAGTCCTTGACCTTGGAGAACAAAGAAGCCTCATCATTTCCAGTCCTCCATCCAGGTTGCCAGTAGATTAAAAAAAAAAAAAAAAAAAAAAAAAGCCACCAGTGAGGGAAGTTTATTTTCTTTAAGAGAATTTGATCATTTGTTTTCTTCCTGCCCCTAGCACTAGGGATGTTAATTACAGCTCTGAAGACACAGCACAGTAAACATGACTCTGGGCTCAGTTAATGAGTATGATTATCCTTTCAAAACTTGGCTTCAGCAATTACATGCTAATCCAGAGGAGTGTGCAGCAGGGAGACCCGACCCAGGGCCAGTTGCGGCCAGCTCACACCACTGCCTCGGAGAGCTGAGTCACGGGGAGCGCACAACCCCTCTGGAGTTCAGGTGCTACCTCTCTCTAGAGGCTCTGCTCCTGTCTCTAGGGTGGAGCTGAGGCACCGGCAGGAGAACCCGAGAAACCTGAGCCTTCCAGTGACAACAGTTTCTAGAATTAGAAGCCCATGTTTCTACCCTCCCAGAAGCTTCCAGTCTTCTCAACACACAAGGATATTTCATGGGAAAAATGGAATTAAAAGCCAAGTTCATTTTGAATTCATGTTTTTGCACAACACACATTTTCCATGAGCTTCTCTTTCTTCTTTTTTTTAAGATTTATTTTTATTGAAATGCAGTTACTGAGAGGCAGAGAGAGAGAGAGAGAGAGAGAGAGAGAGAGAGAGAGAGGTCTTCCATCCACTTCCCAAATGACAGCAACGGAAACCTGGAGCCAGGAGCTTCTTCTGGGTCTCCCACACAGGTGCAAGGGCTCAAGCAGTTGGGCCATCTGCAGCTTTCCCAGGTGCATTAGCAGGGAGCTGGATCACAGCACAGTAGCTGGGAACCAGCATTCTGATATGATGGGATACCAGCATCACCAAGTGGCTCCTTAACCCACTGGGCCACAATGCTGTCCCCTGCCCCTATTGTTGTCTCTGGATACTAGCCAACTGAAAGAAAGGGAAGAACCTTGGATCATAGGCTGAACTCTTCCAAGATTGGGCCATAATGCTAAGTGTCCCAACACCCTGACTTGTTATTTCTGGGTACCTGCAGTAGGAACTGCCTGGTAGCAGCTGGAACAGAGGACTGGATGGCAAGTAGTGTTCAGCTTTTAGTAGGGACACCCAGGGCTAGGGACCTGCAGCATACATGAAGCTTGAAGGGCTACTAATTCAGTTCCCTTCCAAAGCCTTTGCAAAAGGACCTAAAAGATGATGGGAGGAGCCAGCAGTCCATTTGGAATGAGGCATGTGGCCTGAGAAGATCGAGGAAGTTCTTTCAGGACTTGGGAGTAGGCATTGCTGGGAGGAACAGGGACTCATAAAGTCCACAAAGGTCTTCTGTTGATCTATACTTTGCTGGAGAGTCTGACTGGACAATGGGAGGAGGGCCAAGATTCTATGGAGGACAGAGGCCCAAGTCAGGTCCACCCCACATTCCCTAGGTCATCTTTCTCTGAGCATGATTCATGAAACATGAGTCTCATGGTAACATACCACAACTCTGAGTAAAGAAGTTGTCTGTTTTAATTTACATTTCCCCCAAAACAATGGGACATCCTGCTAACACTGGCAGTGCTTCGGATCTGGCATTCTAAGTTCATTTTGGGAAAAGCTAGTTCCAGTCTGTTCCCAAAATTTAACATCATTTTCTAGGGCTCTCTTTCAAATTATTAGAACTCATTCACATTCCCCTTCCTAACTTGGTTTTGATCATACAGGTTCCCTTGAGGGCATGTTCTGAACTAGTCAGTCTCTAAACAGGTGCAAAGAAGAGCTGTAGCCAGCTTGCTCTAGAAAAGAACTAAATGGCACGTGGCAGAGAAATAGGCACTGCCTTCCCAGCCACAGTGGCCCAGCCCTGGTGGGTTTACAGGGATGGCTGGGCAAGGAGGGTGATGACTCAGCAGCCTGCCTTTCTTTCAGCTATAGCCACAAACAGGTTCTGGGAATATCACTCACTGTGGCCCCTGGGTCCTCCCCTTTCAAAGGGCACCAAGGATCTGTGGTTTCAACTGGAGGAAAAAAAAAAATCCTATTTCCAGGATGCTGTGCAGCAGCTTTGGCAGTCACTCTCCTGGCATCATCCACAGAAGCAGAGAGGGCCTATCACCAACCTTGACCACAGGAGCTGGTCACCTTGCTCACACCCCTAGCCAAGGGTGGACCTTTGGCACAGTGGTTGATATTATTTGAAGTGCCTGGTTTAAGTCCTGCCTCTGCTTCTGATCCAGCTTCCTGCTAATGCAAACCCCAGGAGGCAGCAGGTGATAGCTCAGATACTTGGATCCCTGTCACCCACATGGGAAACCTGCATGGAGATCTGGTGTCCCTGGCTTCTGCCTGACCCAGCTGTCTCAGGGTATCTAGGGAGTGAACCAGTGATGGAAGATTTCTACCTTTCTAATAAAGAAAAAATTACATTCCTAGTCCGAGTAAGGTGTATGAGCACTGCCCTCATCTTCAGCCAGTGAGCCACACTACCTGCCCCGGGCATATCCACTCTCAGCTGGACCCCAGAGCAATGATGAGGTGTGCGGTGGCGAATCAGGAGCAAGCAGGTCTTCCTATTTATGTCTCTGATCTTGAGACATTCTTGTGCCCCCCCCCCCCGGCAATCTCAGCACCCCAAGCCAAGCTTCCTGCCAGTCATTTGAGCACCCTCATTCTCTCCCCCACCCAACCTATGGGCTATATACAGTCACTCAAGCCACTCTGCACTGGAGTAATATTTATTTTTTTCCTTGGCAAAAAGTCAAGTGCTACATTTTTAAAAACAGAAAATCTCAAACAATCAAACTCATTACCCATCACAGAAGAGGGTCTTGGCAAACAGTACAAAACATCCTACTTGAGATTTTTTTTTTAAATATACAAGTCAGTTTAAAACGATAGAAGTTCTGTGAGAACTAAGAAATCTACAGCCTGTAGTTTAATAATAGAAAAAAAATTAAGACAATTAAAAGGTTTATAGCATCCAGCATTTTGCTTAATTCCCTGTTTATAGCACCTATTTCTCTAGGTTAGAAGATGAGAATTCCAGAACCTGTGGGGCGTGCTGTATGCCAACCCCTCTGGGGAACCTGCTGTCTCCTCTCCCCGCTGCCCTGTTCCATGATGAGCCTCCCTACTTACACCCAGGGAGGAGGGATATCTGGGAGAGCAGCAAATACTCTGGGGTACGGTAGTAAGCGACTTTTCCTTTCCCCAGGAGATGCTGAGAGAAGCAGAGTATGTGCTTAGAGGAGCAATCTGTGGGTGGGGACAGCTGTTATCTTCCACATAATGCATAAAAAAACCAGGGAGCAACAGGACCTCACAATGAGTCAGTTGCCCGCAAGTTTAAAACCTCAGACAAAACACAGTTTCAAAGGAGGAACAGACAAGTACTAATCACGCTGAGGCTTTTACATGCACAATGCTACTGGCTGCAAGCCACCCCCTCACTGACCTAGGGCCGAGCCCACACAGAGGAGGGAGAGCTTCAACCCCAAGCTTCACTGCACTGAGAAAATGAATATTCCACGCATGACACACTCACTATACATGGATAAACCCCCTGTGCACCCTCACCCTCCTGGACTGAACCCAGTTTAGAAAGCAACAGCAGAATCCATTGGGGAGAATGGAAGAATGGCAGAGAGGTCTTCTCTCAAAGCCAAGGGAGCTATGAGAATCGTGACAGACTGGAGACCCCTAGCTCCAGCCCATGAAGTATGGGCCAGGTCTTGCTGGAGGGGAGGAAGGGAGAGGGAGGCTGGGATGCAAACTCTTTACCAAGTCCTGTGATGCTCTGCAGTGTGCAGAGCTGCCTCTGGATGCAGACTCAGGTTTCAGAGGAGTGGCCACCGGCTAAGTGGAGGGGAAGCTGGGAAGTGGAAGTGACAGCCACAGAGGTGTCCTCACCCGGAGGACACACAGCTGGGAAGACAGGTAGGGTTGGATCACTCGGGAGTCCCGGCATGGGAAGCCCCAGGAAGGCTGTGCTCTCGCTCAAGGATTTTCCCAGTGGTGATGTGTTTTCCTTCCTATATTCAGTGTTAGACTTTAACGCACAAGATACAGACTAGCCCCAAAGCTGGACTTGAATAAAGTTGTTTCTTTTATAAATATTTTAATTACAAGGAATCCTCACTCCAGATAACTTCAGTGACACACAGTACCTACAGGCATGCAAGTTCGCTCTCTCTCTCTCCTGCTCTCTCTCATACACACACACACGCACACACACACACCCACACGGCTCTCAAACTTTCACAGAAAGTCTGACAGCAACCACATAATTATAAAGGAGCCCTACCTCTCAAGAGTGAAGTAAGGGTGAGAAGGACTGTGTCATTTCTGCCTAAAGAAGCAAGAGAGGGGAGAGTGTGTGTCACTTAACGAAAACATCTAACTGGGGATCAGCAACGTTTGGCTGAGAAGCCAGAAAGAAAAAAAGGGTACAATTCTGATTACCTAAAGGGAAAAAGAAAAAAAAATAATAAAAAGCCCTTCAGCTTTCTGTACAGAGCTTCTTCCTACTGAGTGCCTAAACTATGGACAAACCCTGGTGTTCTCACTAAAATATGAGAGCCTCACACAGTTGGGGGGGTGGGGGTGGGGCAAAAGAAGAAACCAGGAAACTGCGGATGGAAGTCAGTGTAAATCTCTGCATTCTGGGAGAGTCAGCTGTCACTGATCATCAGCTCCAGAGCCCAGCATAGTTTCCGTGGAGCCCTGAAGGGAGGGGACCTCCTGCCACAAAGAGTTTCGTGCCGGACGAGTCGTAGCAGTGGGTGTACACGGCATTGGGGAAGAAATCAATGTCCGAAAAGTAATTCCTCCAGGTTTCATCATGATTCTACAGGGAGACAGAGAGACCGGGTTAGCACCCTGTGGCCATGGGGCAGAAACATGAATGCATTCCGATCTCCTTAAGTGGAAGGGCGCCGCACCTATAACCTGATGTTGGCAGACTGGTTTTCCTGGGAACTAGGGCCTCAGTTTTCAACTGAGCATTAGAGAGGAAGTACACACAGTTCAGATCTTGTCCAACAGCTAGACTAGAACTCTTCATAATCTGCCGGCAGCTCGGCAGCACATTCCTAACCTTTCTTGTTCCATTACCACTTCAGGGGAACCCTGGGCCAGGCAACTTGATTTCTTGTGCCTCAGTTCAACCACAGGCAACAGATGGAGACATAAAAGCAAAATTAGAGGAAATTCCTTTCCTGCTCTAAGGAGTGCCTGGAGGTAGGATGTGGGAGGGGCTGGCACAGGGGAGATAATTGTTCTGCCACTGTCTGGCAATCAACTCAAGCGGGGCTCACTCACCAGCCAGCCTTTGCCAGTGGTTAGCTTCAGATTCTCCCCTGCCAGTTTGGGCTTGGACCCGTAACAAGCAGAGAGCCTCTCTTCCAGGAATCTCTGAGCTCGGATATCATAGAACAACAGGGAGCCCTGCCCTGTGCCCACAGTGATGATGTGCTCGTAGAAGCTCACTGACCGGATCCCTGAAAGACAGAGAAGGGAAGGGAGAGCGTTAGCTTAGCAGTCTGCTCGCCTGAATTCCTCCAATGCCGAGTCTGCACTGCACCTCCCAGTATCGGACAATGCTTTTCCAGGGGCAAACATAGCTCATGCAACAGCAGGGAACCCTGGTGCCACGCTGCCGCAGCCATCACGCACTAACAGGAGCCCTCCGACCAGCCGTGGAGAATGCCAGATTGCTGACTAAGCCTCAGATGCTTTTGGCCAAAGACAGTAAGTGTGCCTGGAACTTCCCTGCGTCGCCACTTCGGAATCATCACTCACAACTACGCTCTTTGCCAGTATATGTTTCCAGCCTATACTGCAATTCAGGGTGATCTGCGCATGTACAAATCATCACATAAACAAGGACTTCCTTATATTCCTTATATAAAATTACCACCAGGGCACTGCAGGAAGTCTGTAGCTGGTATTAAGTGTGTTAGGAGGGTGACAGAAAGCCCAAAACTTAAGCACACCAGAGCATTCTTCCTCACCACAGGGTGAACTTTAGACATCTAATCATT